TAGCAACACGCTGACTGTTGTTTAATTGTTAAATTGGTTATAATAATTGTTTAATTGTTTTGTTAATTGTCTTGTTTGTCTGTGAACTGGTCACACCTGTCCTAATTAGGCTTGTTATATACAGGTGTGTGGCCACAAAGAGGAGGTTTAGACTTTGGAAGCCATTTTGTGTGCTGGTGGCTGTAGACTGATTCTCCTGTGTTTGTGAGTGTTTTTTTTTTTTTAAATAAATTACTGTTTTTGTAAGTTTTACTCCTTCTCTTAATTTATGTGTAGAGCATCGGCCAGCTCTGTCACACCTTGTTAGCAAGCAATACCAGTTAGCAAGTCAAGTTAAGGTTTGTTATGTATTTTATAAGCAAAAGATCTTATTTGGGAAAAGTTCATGTCACACTTACTTATTTTACAGGCAGGACTAAAAATTACTAAAATAATTTAGATTTAGAAGTACTATTAAATGCCCATCTGAGATTCAAACCTTCTACTATCTGGTAAAAAACAGCTCCCTAAACATTAATCCACAGTCTTCCAAAACCACCAATCCACAGTACTGTACCCTGGCAACTTCAGTGGTTTTCTTATATGACTGGCCTGTCCTATTTTCAAGCTCAATGTGGAAAGCAGCCTCACTGGAGAGTCTGCCCTGCTAGGAGAGTTGAAATGCTCTTTGGTTTGACTGACTGGTGCACAAGTGTAGGCATGACTGTGTCTTTCACTCAAAAACTTACACACGACAACATGTTTTTAATGGTTTTCCCATAGACATATGTTTTCAGGCATTTGCTACAAAGAAGTACAAATAAAATCTCATTTATGGAAAACTGATTTATGGATTAGGCGTCTGTGGATTGATTCAGAATGGTGAGGTGATTCCCTACCAAATTCCCGGTAATAATTTAGACTTGGACGCGTGATGATTAAGGGAAGCAGATGTTTCCTTGCACAGTGGGGTGAAATCTGGCACAAGCTTGTGTGTTCTGAGGTCAAAATAAGGCAGATATGGTTTTCTTAGCGCTGAGAAAAATTCCCGCCAGAGCATAAAACAGCAAAAAAACACTGGATACATCTACAAGGTCCCTACAGCTGTGAGTCACTTTCAATGCTAAGGGCAATAAAAAATATATATATAGATATATGTATAAGACCAGTTCAGCTGATAAAAAATTACACTCTAGACATGGGGACTGGATTAGACAAACGCAGGGAAATTTCCTGTGCCTCTCATTCCCTTCACCAGACAGATACGGAAAGACTGCAAATGGGTAATTCTGTGAACACTATTATAAACAAATACCATTTAAGAGCACCTTCTTTTTCCTACTCTCCCCTGAAAAAAAAATCCATGTAAATGAGACTACCTGGTTGAGGAATGAAACAAAATGAAACAAAACAAAAGCTGTTCCAGAACTGATTATGAATACATTTGCAAATTCCATTTATCCACAAAACCAGTGCTGATAAGGCCCAGCTGTTGTCAGTGTTGCAATGTTGACTTACTGTGGGATTTCCTTCAAAGTCCTGAGGCTGTGGATCATGCAGTGTGGCACATTCAAAGGAACCACAATACAACTATTCAACGCCCTGAATCACCACCACTTTATTGACGCATGCAATTTAACTCTAACATGCCTGTGAGTTAAAAAAAACAACCTTCTGTCCAACAACCCTCGGCTGATGTTAGCAAACAGATGAAATAAAAAACTAGCAGGAGGCCAAGCAGGGACTGGGGTTGCAGCAGTTCACAGCTCTTGGCTTTGCCACAGTGTAAGGGAGTAAACAGGAGGACTTCAGGTCAGAGGAGGCTGTGAGAGAGGCATGCATTCCCTGTCAGAATGTGTCCATCTTGTAGCATGGTGGTTAGGGAGCACCAAGAAATGCCTCAGTAAGTATCCAGCTGTATAAATGGATAACATGTAAAAATTGTAACCTATGGAAGTTGCTCTGGATAAGATCATCTGCTAAATGGCAATAATGTAGTCTGGTTAAGGGAATAAAGCATGCTGGCAGCGGCTGCTCTGTCTTAGCTGTGTCCCTCTCCTCTGGTCTGCCATAGCCGTGGTCACCCAGAGTTTCCCTCTTCATTGCGGCATTGGACTGAGGTGGCAAAACAGGGGCTCAGTCAAAGTGCTGTGCTAACAGCAAATAGTACCACACTGAGTAATACTGGAATCCACCTTCATCAGACATTACTTGCCCATGCCGTCATGGCAGAGGTGGTGTCTGGATTTATCTCTGTAAACAACTTTCAAACGCCAGAATTTCAAGATCAACCCCACATAACTCATGCCATTTTGAGCACGTGAGATTCAATACCGTGGACATTTTCAAAGACATTTGTCATGGAAAGGCTAGCTTGTCTAACTTTTGGAGATAAAGGAGGTAAGGGCATGTTTTTGTTGTTGTTGTTAAGAAGGGGTCATATTAATCTTATCAAAACTTTGTTTATCTCCAATGTGATAGTGAAGATGAGGGAGACATTTGTGGTTTGGCAGGGGGACAGGCCCAGTGGTGTGAGAAACAGATTCCTTATAAATGCAATTGGAGCACATCACCACAACACCACAGACCAAAAAAACCCTGTTTCTTCATTCTTTATTCTAAATTTTGAAGGGAAATTCTTGATAGTGCTTCATTTTCCAGCACTCAGAACAGGAAACCACAGAAACAAGACTTAGCTGATTGATGTAGGCATACAGTCGAATTCATAAACGGACAAAAATACGAGACCTAAAAATAGCATCATCAGATAAGTAAACATGCATTAATTTCTTTTTACTCATGTTATTAAGGACTACGCCTTACATTGGTGATTTCCTTCTGTTGTACTTCCTACTATTCAATCTCATTAAAAACAATGTTGCATACTAATTTGGGTATAGCATACCCAAAGCATAGCACACTTTTCTACTGACATGGTTGTCCCCACGTATCACTTGATCAGCTCCAAGAAGTGTGGGTGAGCAGAGTATCTTTTTAAAGGTAACTGGAATAGACTGAATCAGCATTGCTTTATTGAGAGTGCAGTAACCTTTACCAAAATTACTGTAAGGCAGACATTTCTGAATTACTTGAATAAGATACTCATTCTGGGGAGAAATGCTATGATAGAAAGTATAACCTGAGTTTCACAGACATTCATCATATACAGTATACAATATTGTTCAAACAAATTATGGTATGGAGTTAGATCCATGTCATCAAAGAACTGACTTTGAATTGAATTGGTTTTGATTTGTATTGCTTAAACAACTCCATATTATGATGACTGGTGAAAACAGAGGTCTGAAGTACCTTAAACGTAACAATAACAATGAACTGAACAATATTTGAGCATACTGTGTGCATTTGTGCACAAAATGCCTGGAGACTATTAGGCAATGGAAACCATTACCTCACCGGGTGCTGTTTCCAACAAAACACATATAAGTGTGAAGGAAGAGCCTTCACACTTACATGTGTTATATGTTATACACAATGTGATAACAGAGCATTGATTTTTTTTCCATGCTGTTCGATTTGTCATTATCTGTTTTTTTCATGTAGGTGTGGAAATACCCTTGTTTAAAAGGTCACACATCTGTGTCCAAAGGTTGGAGATCTAATGTGCGTATTGTACAGATAGGTCAGCACACAGACAGTGCATTGAGAAAATGGGAACTTGCAAACAGAAAAGGAAACTTCTGTCAGGTGATGCAAACCGAAGAGGAGGAAACTTGAGCAGTGATGGCTGAGACTGAGAATCTCTGCTCTGCAGTCACAGATGTTAAGGTGATATGACAAACAATGCTCAGCTGTGGGTCCTGCTGGGCCTCTCCCTCAAGCAGACTGAGCAATTTTTAGAGTATTTTCTGAAGGTGATATGTTCAGACTACACAGGGGAAACCATTCTTCTAAAACAGTGTTTCTCAACCATGCTCCTCGCGGCACCCTGTCCTGCATAGCTTCTAGCTATCCTTGCTGCTTGATTAAATCAGGTGTGCTCAGCTAATAAAATGTGCCACTGATGAATTCAGTCAGGTAGGTAGAGCAAGGATAGATAGAAGATATGCAGGACAGGGTGCCGCGAGGAGCAGGGTTGAGAAACACTGTTCTAAAACATGAGTACTAGGATCTTAATTTGTCTAATCTTGGTGTTGTTAATGTAAAAATATATTTTGTTTCCTCAGGCATACTTTTCGTTTATCCTTGCCTCCCCCATCGATCCTGAACCTTACAGAACCGTTGTCAGTCTGCAGGCTGGAGGATGTGGGACCTGTAAATTGTGGTCATACAGCCATGCACACGTACGCAGATACCCTCATTAACACATGACAGAATTCAAAACAAAGCCACAAATGGGAAGTGGTTAAATTAACTATTGTTTATAATGTTATCAAATTTACAAATATTTCTCTCTATTTTATTTTACTATCATGAAAAGGGGAAAAGAAACAGGTTGTATGCAGGTGAAGCATTCAGTCAGGGATTAATATGGGTACTCACACAAGTACAGTATATAAGATTTTTGACTGCACATTTGAATATATTTATGGCCCCCATGACTGAAGACATCACCTACAATGTATCTTCCTGTGTCTGACAATGCACTGGCTAAATGTTAACTGTGTAACCCCTGGGAAGATATTTGACTGTTAGCACTTTCTGCTAATATTGCATTACATTACATTCATTTAGCAGATGCTCTTATCCAGAGCTACTTCCAGCACAATAGAACATAAGCATGTCCATTTAAGTTGAATGAGCAACAGTGTCAGACAAGACTAACACCACTTCCAGACCAGCGAGTGTGAGCATAGCACTATTCAAGTCCTACCCTAAGTTAACTTGTGTAACCTGACCAAACAAGAGAAGCCAAGTATACTACCATACATCAGTCACTAGATCACAGAACCCCAAACATGTTGCAGTACTACGCATAAAGTAAACAGCAAGTATTACAAGTAGCAGGTGTTAGGGGGCAGGAATTAAGATGGAAAGCTCACTCACCACATTCTACCAAATGTCACAGACAGGGTTCAAACCCGCAATCTTCAGTTCACGACGCTGATACCTTACCACCTGGCCACCATACCAGTCCTCTATATTCTACCTCTACCTGAGGCTGGAGAAACAAAGGAGATGCTGTGTGCTTGTGTCTGTGTGTGCATGCTGGGTATCTAACCATTAAGGTGCAGGTTTAAAGCCTAAGTGGAGAAACTGCTGTTTCCTTTGTAGCCTCAAGAATTATACTTGAACTGCACTGCCTCAATGATTATCCAGCTCTATACATTGATAACATTTAAGTTGTCCTGGATAACAGTATCTAATGTAATGTAAGCGCAGTTGACAATCCTGTACTATTGTATATCCATACAAGGTTGTGGTATGACGTAGAGCATCCGATTCTGCAAGATGCCAGTCAAGAATATATGAAGGCAAGCATGCTGGCAATACAGAGCGGAAATGTGTGTTGCACAAACCAACAGTTGACATGCGATGAAGCAACACATACCATCCACACTACAAATCCTGTAGGCTGTCGGTAGTGTCACCACACCAAGACAGGAGTGTTCTAAGAGCAACAGAGCATCATCACATCCTTTCAATGATGAGGGCACAATGCTTAAGGTCTGAAATTGAATGTTTAAAACACTGAAGTGCTCTAATATGCTAAGAATTAATCAATCATGTTTGGAAACAACATTGTCATGTTTATTTGATAATATTTTTTTAAAAATCGCAATGTACTGCGTGAACAGTACCAGTCAGAAGTTTGGACACACTTTTCTCTTTTTATTTTTAGTGTTTTCCACATTCTAGAGTAATAGTAAAGACATCAAAACTATGAAATAACACAACTGGAATTATGCAGTGACCAAAACAAATCAAAACAATCTTACATTTTAGACTCTTTAAAATAGTCAAAAAAATTTTTTTTTATTAATACTTTTTTGGAAAGAAATTCATACATAGGCATCAACTTCACAATTTATATTTGTCTAAGGAACAAATTTCAAGAATTTAAGCAAGAGCCTTTTGATCAAAATGTCTTTGAATTCATGTTTCCCATTATCTTAATTAGGTGTGTCCAAATTGTTGAATGGTATTGCAGCTGCATTTTTAACAGATGAAGACAGAAGGACTGGTGGCATCTGGAAAACCTTTGGTTATATTCGTCAGCATGGTTCATTATGATGACAGCATAGATGGGCCTCGGGGTTCCTCAATATTCGAGGCGTGCGAATGCACCTAGTTACAAGGATTTACAGTAACCTCATTCTTTCTGAGGAAAAAAGACCCAACTCTGACACCATTATAAACGGCATGGGAGAAAACTGCATATGGTGTCCGTGTTATGAAACACGTGAGCCATGAATATTTCACAAGTTCCCAGGAAGGCGTGAACGTTTTGCTAGTAAGGCTGAGTAAGACATAGTAGCTCATTGCAGCCTAGGAATGCTGATGAATCTGGGGGTGGTGTTAAACCAGGCAAGATCTGGTTTCATTTTAGCACGTTAATACAAAACAGGGATCAGCCACGATCAACGGCGTCTACAAATATTGCGTGCATTAAATGGTACGTATTCAGACTCACTTCATGTCAAATGAAATCACAAAATGGAATTGCTCTTCCAAGAAGTGTGATAATTTCGAGATACTCTGTTTATTTCACTCTCACTGAACAAAAAGAGACACAACTGGCCTCGTGACCAATGCAATATTACCTTAATGGGTGATGCTGGTATAACCTGCTCAAAAGTATGAAACAAACACAGTTTTCACTTTGAATGAACATGTTGTAACTTTGACCTGTGTCACATACCCTCAAGCACACAATTCCTATTCAGCTTGCCACAACTCATTCTCCCCTGTATCTGTTCCCACCTGTACTTTCTTCCCAAAAGCAGTCATATCTCATTGTTGCCGCATACCTGAACACTAAAAAGAAATTGTTTTAAGCACTGCCATCAAATAGACAGACACTCACTCACTAAAAAGGTAAGCATGTCTGACAAACATTTAAATGTAAAATTATATACATGTGTTGTCAATTTCCAAACATAAGTACCTTTAAAATAAATGTGATTACATGGAGATACAAAACTTTTATTCCATGTTTAATGAACATGGAGAAAGAATAAACTCATGCTGTGTACATATCTTTACATATCTTAGCAGGGAGAAATCAGTCCTTCCTCCTGGAAATATAAAGGCATATGAACAAATTTCATTTATATTTGAGAAACCACTAATACTTTTCAAATAAATGTACTAGCATGCTTTTTATTTACCCACACAATATTATTAAATTCAAGATATTAAAAAAATCTGATCAAACAGGCATGCATATTTCAAAATATGTGTCAACTGATGAAGTTTGACATGATTTACATTACACAAATGCATTATTCATTGGGTGGAATTCACTGTAATTAAATTTAGCCAGGGCTATACTGTTGTGGTTGTGACATTCATGTTGCAAGATATGAAAAATTCATGAGAAACAAAGAGCTTTTTTATTTTGTTCCTCCTGATTGGAAAGTTTCGTACTAAATTACTGTCATGGTCATGGGTAAGACCCACACATTTGTCATGATCTGTCAGGAGAGGAACTAAAACTCAACAACTGAAGCAGGTTGGAGCATAAGAGCTCTGAAATTTACTTGAGTGTGATTATTTTTAGCATATTGCATGCTTAGTGTAAGTATGGCTTTACTATCAGGTAGTGAATAGGTCAATTGAATGATGCATACTTTGTCATACTAGCTTGCAAAAAATGTTTCCCTCAAACTCTTCCAATGAGATTCATCTTTTGTGTGGGCTCCGTGTAGGTTGTGCACAGGAGGTTTTGTAATTTTATGAACTTTATGACTGGCCTTTCAACAGCTCATCTTCACAGTCTGATGGAATAATGCAACTAGAGAACTGTTGATACATGCACAGAAAGGGATTTTGAGTAGGCAGACAGTTTTCTATGAGTTATCCATTACATATCTTGATACTGAGCAGACTTAAAAGAAAAAGGGACATTTACAGTAGGTGACCTTTTCTCGCCAGCAATGGAAAAACATCAAAATAAAGAGTAAAATGTCTAAATAAAGACTAAATGAATAAAGCCCACGGCATATTTCCTACTGTACATGCATTCAGTCAGTTTATGATGGGAAAGCACGTAGCACTTCAGGCAAGAGAGGCAAGAAGCAGAAAGTAGAACAAATAAACTGAAAGAGAGCATTAGAGAGACCTCAATCATCATCCCAGCATGGTTCCTGGGACCTAGTGAGCACCCAACATAGCAAGATCCTGTAAATCATTCAGCTTTATTAATTCACGGCTCAGACAAACAATACAAGCAAAACAGACATTTGTTTAACATCGCTAAAACAGCTTTTTAGAAAAAGAAGCAAAACAGAGAAGAGTGGGGCTTTGAGCTATCTGTCTTAAAATAACAACTGCTTAGACATCAACACCCGTTACAAGAAGTGAAAGGGGGCGGGACAGGTACAGCTGTCAGGACTGTTTTAAAATATCTGTAGAAGGAAGCCCCTCACAGCATATCTTGCTAAAACATCCGGCCTGGGAAAGTGAAATTGTGCTCCTGTTCCTTGAGTCAGTTCCCCCATGATGCTGGGCTCCCGTAAAAAGGAAAGCAAAAGAATTATTTTTCAGAAACACATCATCTCACTTTCCATTGTGTCTCTGCCCCTGTGAAGCTCAACGAGACAGGCTGTCGCCTTAAAAGGGAGAAAATCTGAAACCTATTTTAAAAAATGGAACCCAGTCATGGATTATGCCAAAAGTAGAGCTCAGGCTTCATCTTGCCCTGATGAGATGATTTAAGTTTTGCGTTTCCGAGTTCTGCAGAGCATCTATGCTAGCTTTAGTGCGATGCTTTCTTGAGCACGGCTGTTTAGCATTAGGGTCATTCTGTGTGAAAATGGTAAAAAAATGTCCATGGAATTTTAAATATTCCTGAAATGTAGTACATAGAAAGGTCGTTTTGATATTTCACATGTATTAGCCTTTCATATCTAAAAACATTATTGAAAAATAATCATATTTTGCAATTTCATGACAATTTGCAACTGACCAACTGTCCAAGACACTGTAACGTTTGATCTATACATGCCACAAACAGAATCTTCATAGTCACACTTTTGTTTTGCAATATGTAAATGTACGTTAATTATACAATTATGATAAATGATATATTAATGAATGACAATTAATTTTACAAAAGTACCGCCTTGAATTTTGTTCATTTTTTTAAATTGTGTGGCATGGACTGTACTGCGCAAATATAGAAGGTTTCAGAGGGCTGTTTTTTAGGCCTTTTTGATACATTGCATGTGGCAGCAATTAGGGGTCCACACAGGAAAGTGAGGCTCGATCATCATGTGAGCCTGATGCAGAGGTCGCTCTAACACTCTTTCATTTTCCTTGCTCCTTTCCTATGAAATACTTCACTGGCAGAGGAGTTTTCCTGTAGGCTGTTCAGGATTCTTTCTGTGTTGTTATTGTGCAACTTGGTTGCGGCTTGATCCGTGTTTTCTTTTCAGGTGTGATACATCCTCCCTTTTCAATGTTAGGGGGTTTGCTTTTGTCAAAATGTGCCCCTAAGGTATAACTAGAATGTCATCACCTCTTGGGTATGAGAATAAGCGAGCTGGTTGAGCTGAATGGGGGAAGCTTGCTTTTACCCCTGATGCGTCATTGTGAATATCCAGAACACAACCCAGCCACCATTTTTCATCATAATCAGCAGCAGCAAAACCCTCGATGTCCTCTGTGGCTTCCAACTCAGAATCATTTTAGAAAACCCTGTTTGAATAAGCCTCAACCTGCAGCCTTGACCTTTTGACACTTGGACAAATGAGCATAACTTTCAAGTGTCAGTGATTGTCTTGGCAGCGTAGAACCTGTCCCTCAACTAAACATTCTCATCCTCCCACCCTGCCACTGTGGAATACAACAAATATTCACCGGATAAGCTGTCTTTTACAAAATCAAACAGCTGTCTTACTGTTTACATCTGGCCCTTGTAATGCCGCTGAAGACTTGCCATTTCTGCTGATGTCATTATGGTCCCCCC